AAGAAGTGTATGTTACTTGGCGATCCGTAAACGTGTACACACGACTATACAAATACAGATTTCACTATACATTACTGCAGATGTGTTGTAGTCTATTCTATTTGGTTCTAGTTTGTTCCATTCTGTTCCATTAAAACAGTACTACTTATGATCCATTCCATTAATTTCATGACCCATGAATGTATCTGGCCCACAGTTTGAATAACAATGTTTAAAGTACAGGCTGGGCACAGTGGCTCACGCCTGTATTCCCAGCACTTTGGGAGGCCGAGGTGGGCAGATTACCTGAGGTCGGGAGTTCAAGACGAGCCTGGCCAATATGGTGAAGCCTCATCTCTACTAAAAATACAAAAAAAAAAAAAAAAAAAAATTAGCCTGGCATGGTGGCAGAGGCCTGTAATCCCAGCTACTTGGGAGACTGAGGTCGGAGAATCACTTGAACCTGAGAGGCGGAGGTTGCAGTGAGCTGAGATCCCATCACTGTACTCCGTCCTGGGCAACAGAGCAAGACTCCATTTCAAAAAAAGAAAAAGTAGATTTAATTAACTTACCTTTTTTGTTTTTTATACATTTTTTACTATTTCTTCCTATAATACGGGCTCTTGTTTGCTTTTCTTTTTGTGCATTGATGTCTTTTATTTCTAACAGGGAGTTGATTTTTATTCCCTAGGTGGTTTTTAATTTTAAAACAAACAAACTTGGCCTCATTCATATATATATATATTTTTTTACTCATTTTCCCATGTAATTTTTCTCATTAGTTTTCTTTCCTGGGGGTGTGGGCATATATATGTATATACACACAAAAATGTGGATGTGAATACACACACACACACGCACACATTTCTATAAATGAAGATTCTTCCCTTATTATTTTGAATTCCTTAACACTTAAACACTTAATGGTACATGGCCCTCACAGTTATTTCTGTTTTTTAAAAAAAGCACTTCGTATTCTTGTCTTCAGATGAGATGCAGATGTTTTCCTAAGAAAGCTCCAACTCTCAAACTTACTGCACAACTATAATCAAGTTACAGCCTTCCCTCTCCTATTAGGAACATTAAATGTAATTTTTCCTGGCCTAAGAAACTTGAGTATTCTATCCTTTTTATGTTTCCATTTTTAAAGTTCTCAAGTAAACCATTTTACTGCTCCAAGCTGTTACACGAAACCCAGAAGAATGCTTGGAAGTGAGATGTGCCGGCCTCTCTCAGCCTCTCGTGATCCTTCCAAGCTCAGCCTGACACTGTCCTGTGTAGTCCTGTGGCACCCACTGGGTTCCCTTGGGTGTGTGTCCTGAAGATGTCTTTTGTTTGTTTGTTTCCTCTTTGGAATGCCAGCACTGCTAAGTATGAGATATGCTGAAATTAGTGTCTGGTTTACAAAAAAACTATCAGCAATTTCAGACCTTTCTTATTGTAAAATGCCAAAGGGTCGGAGCCTTTTGATCCAAGCCTGAGAAAATTTCTTCAGTTAATGAATGTTGGGAGATGCCTGGTGCTGTGGATCACACCTGTAATCCCAGCACTTTGGGAAGCCAAGGCGGGTGGATCCTTTGAGGCCAGGAGTTGAAGACCAGCCTGGTCAGCATGGTAAAACCCCATCTCTACTTAAAAAATTTTTTTAAAAAGCCAGGCAGGGTGATGCACGCCTGTAATACAAGCTACTTGGAAGGCTGAGGCATGAGAATCACTTGAACCTGGGAGGCAGAGGTTGCAGTGAGTCGAGATCGCATCACTGCACTCCGACCTGGGTGACAGAATGAGAGTCTGTCTCAAAAGTAAATGTAGGGAGATGGCCACAATGAAATGACTAAGTTTGGAATTAAACCTCAGTTTGATGTTGACAGTGCAGAGACCTGGGCAGAAGACTTTCAGTAGCCAGGTAGTCGTGAGTCGGTGGTAGTAGCTTCCTGAGCAAGGGAGGCGTCCCGGTAGTCAGTGTAGGGTGAGGGCATCATAGAAAGCAGATGGAGGGAGTGAAAAAATGGAGGGGGAGCTTAGAATGTCTAAAAGCTCTTCCCAGTGAATTTGTTGAGCCGGGACCACCAGTGCATTCGAATAGATGATCATTTTATCTTCACTCACCCCATCTGTTTGCTGGAGGCCCTTCCCACTGCCGCTGTTGGAGTTGAAAATCAATCAGATTTGGTTCAATGAAAGACATTGTACAGCCAGTTTCGTTCTCTTTCTTCTGTCCAAACGGAGATTTTCATGATGCTGTCTGCCATTTATTGAGTACCTGTAGTATGGCCGCTGCTCAAAGTATTTTATGGTACGCCATCTCTGAGCCTCCCACCTCTCTGTAAGTGGGTCACAGATTTACCAGTGAGGAAGCCAAGACTCTCCATGGCGCTATGATTTGTGCAGGGCCACTTGGGAAATGTCTGTGTGGCTCCAGACCGCCTGTGCTTACTGTCTTCAGCTTGCCTCTCTGCACCTGGATCAGTTACCTTGTAAATGTCCTGCACTGTCCTGGGGGTTTATTCCACTTAACTGTTGTTTTTATTTATTTATTTATTTTGAGACAGAGCTTCGCTGTTTTTGCCCAGGCTGGAGTGCAAATGGCACGATCTCTGCTCGCCGCAGCCTCTGCCTCCTAGGTTCAATCTGCTTAGCTTTTACATGGTAGCATATATTAATATGGGTATACAAGGGTACAGTAAACAAGACGCTTAGGATTAGGAGAAACCATATTCTTGACTTATGGTTATTTCCTTGAGAGGGCCAACTGGTTGTCTTTCATTTATTTGGCGCTTTTTTTTTTTTTTTTTTTTTTTTGGCGTAAGATTAAATGGTCCCACCCTGAAAGCCACTATGATGAAAACAAAAGCCATTGGGTTTCCAGAATTGAGATAATATCATTGCAAAAATGTTTGGGTCACATGTCAACCATGGCTCTCAGTGTAGCTATTGCTGGTTTGGAGCCTTGGGTGCAAGGGATCAGAAAGGCAGGTGCCACTGGTCCAGGGCTCCACCAGGAGCCTTTGGTGGAATCAGCCTAGACCCCTACTGTTGGTTGACAGGACTTGGTGGTTTGTTGTATGTTATCCAAATTTGATAGTTCCCCTGTCTCCTCTCTTTCCTCCCAAACCTCTCCACCCCTTAGCTTTTGGCTTTCTTCCGCACAGCTCTTTAATAAAAGAGAGGATGAAGATTCCAGGGCAAATTATTGAGTGACCCGCCTGATTTACTTGGAAAGTCTCACTGTTCCCCCTGAATCATTCTGGGTTTGAGAATGTGTGTGTGAAAGAAAAAAACACATAGGAATGTTGAATTTTCCAAAGTTGAACTCTTTCAGGTCTTTAAACATCCGGTTGGTTAAACTGGGAACATTAATATTTTAAGCATAGAGTGTCCAGCCAGACCCTGACCTGTGTCTGGGGTCAGGCCTGCACGTGGGGGTGGGTCACTAGGGTGGTCAGAGGTTCCAGCCCCGGGAGCAATTCCAGGGCTGGAGCAATTCCTCTATTCTCATTGCACCAGAAAGAGTTAATTCCAGTTGCACGGCTTGCTGATGTTGTTGATAGTAAAGTATTTTAATGGGCTCTGTGAATAAGGTTTGTAAGGAAATGACTTGGGTGAACTGATGTCTGAAACACAGAATTTTTGAACTTCTAAAAAGATTTTAGGAGTAACTTATTTTTACAGCTCCTTGTGGGATTTTCTCGCACTGTCCCCTTCCCCCATGCTAGTTAAACAGCGTCTTGTTTGCTTTCTAAATGTTGGAGGGTAACATCAATCTTACTGTTGGCTGGAAGCAGGAGGTGGGCACGGGTTTATGTAACTTAACTTCTTTTCTCTGCAAATCAGTAAATATTTACAAATGACCTTATCAAACAGTTTGGGTACATTCGGTCACTTGAAAGTGTGCAGCCAGAGGAGTGACTGCCCATGGGCCCGCTGCCAGTTCTGGGGGGGGCCTCAAGGGAAGGACTCACATTTTTAAAAATAGGCAGGAAGTGGGCCTCACAGGAAGCCTCCCTCTCTCCACCAAAGAGTTTTAGAAAATTTGCATTTTAAAGTTTGACTTCTTTAAAATTCAACTCTTTGAGGCTGGAGTTGATTGCTGGGAACAGAGGAATCCCAAAAATAAATAGTGGATTCTGAGTTAGCCTCACCATTGTTGCCTGAGTTCTTTTGTTTCTTAGGGAAGGTAATGACAGAATTCCATCCCAAGAGTAAATGTCATTCTTTTGTGGGTTAGTTGGAAAAAAACAAGGGGATTACTTTTTTGTGTTTATAAAATGGTCCCGATGTCACATGGCTTTAAACATAACTACAGTTCTACAGCAGAGATGGACTTTGGGATGTCTCAGCCCTCTTTTTTTTCCCCTAATATTAGAAATCTGACACAGTTAAACTCATCTTTAGAAGAGAATGCACATGTGCTTCAAAGTTGGCACTGAAAAATAATTCTCATTTTCTTGGTAGTTTGGATATGAAAATTGCAATATTGGTGTATCACCATAATCTGGTAATTTCATTTTGCCAATCAAACATAATACAAGTAAGACTGAAGTGCATTTTATGGAGTTCTATTGTCAGTATAATACCTAAGGCTGACAAACAGTCAACAAATAAATGGAAAGCTTTTAAGAACAAATAAGTGATAATAGCTATACATCTACTTATTGCAAAGTGCTTAATGATTCTGTATTAATGCTTTTGTATTTTAATTTTCTTTGCAGAGTATTGGGAAAGGGTCGTTGTGGTGCATAGACCCAGAGTATAGACAAAACCTAATTCAGGCTTTGAAAAAGACACCTTATCACCCACACCCACACGTGTTCAATACACCTCCCACCTGTCCTCAGGCATATCAAAGGTAAGCAACTCAGACTTCTTTTTTTGGTCTACTGAAATGGCATTATTTTGGCAGAGACCTGCACGGAAATTAATAGGCCGTATGAGATTTAAAAAATAACTGCAGGTAAATGAGAAGGAAATTAAGTATCATTAGGAGGCATATCCATTGTTGTATTTCCTGCAAACCTTACCGCTTCTGCAGCTTCGGAGGAATGTGCTTCCAGGAGGCTTCATAGTGGGTGAAATAACACCTTCCTGAGTAGAAACATGGACAGAGAAAAGCTGACAGCTTTCCCATCTCGATGTGTGTCACGTTTTGTGGGGATAAAAGTACAGGCGCGAGTCGAGCAGGTGACTCCGTCGTCCCTTCCTCTGGCCGGTCTCTGCAGACGTCCAGTGGAGGCTCACTCGGCTGTTGGCTTTCGCGGTCTCCATGTGGACGGTGCTCCCAGGTGATCGTTTTGTTGTGGTTACTTGGTGTTTGCTTCCTCAGGGAGAACAGCAGAGAACCATAGAGACATTTTCTCCTCCTCACAGGCCCATTTGTTTGAGACAGTAAGGTCATGGGTACCATTTTTACAAATACATCATTGGAAGGGAGGGTAAATAAGTAGCCTGTCACTTTTTTTTTTAAAAAAAGTGTCTTAATGTTATATTCCACAAGAGAGCCAAATAATCAGAACCAAATTTCTAAGATAGATTTTTATCAACACACAGTGCTTGAGTTTGAAATGCATTCCTCAACTCTACAAAAACGTATTTAAAAATGTATAGAAATGTTTCTTTCGTAACCACCTAGTTAAGAGGAATTATCCTTGGACTGCAAGTCGAGGTTAATTAGGGATGGCATGGTGTCATAGGCTTCAGGAATTTTGCAGTCCACTTCTCTGCAGATTCTTTTCCTAGTCTGCTGTTTGTTCTGCAGGAGGGAGCACAAAATGATCTTCTGAAATAGCATTAATGAAGTTCTTGTGCATCTCAGTTGAGAAGCATTCCATCACAGGCCCTAGACAATCAGTCTTTAGCAAGAGACAGGGAGGAACAGCTGGGCTCTCTGAGAAGACTGCTGTATGTCTGCCTTTGCTAGGCGATTAGCGTGATGGTACCCATAGCAACTGGAGCGTCTCCATAGTAACGCGTAGCCGAGACAGGTGCAGTTGCATCACAAGGCTGTTTGTTGCCTGGCAAAAGGACAGGCCATTAGTACTTAGATATACGCTGTTGCCTTAGAAACAAATAACCCTACATAGCAACTACAGTTGGTTTGAAAGGCTTGGTGTGGGGTGGGGTAGGGGGGGAAGGTTGTAGCAGCTTTTGTCTGTGCTCATAAAAATCAGTGGAAGCATACTTTATTCGAAATGACAACTTGAGGTCATATAGCTGTAGGAGAGAAAATGGGATTTTCCAGAGCAGCCTAGCCAATATCGTAGACGTGTCCAGAAGGACAGAGCCATATGCTTGGTTTTCTCCTTGTGGCCGTAGCCACTCCCCAGATGGAAGAGAACCAGGATTGGAGTGCCCGATGTCCAGGGTTGGTGAAGGAGGACGTGACGCTAATTATTGAAATGTTTCCCAGAGTCTCATATTTCTTTGTCTTTCTACTCCCCGTACCCTCCAGGCTGCATAGAATACCCTTCTCTGGCTTTTCCAGTTTGTGCCTCGGAAATATTTCGTCTCTCTTTGCTTCTAGGAAGTTAAGAACATAAACGTAACTCATCGGGTCATGTCGGTGGTTCATTTAGATGAGTATTTTGTTGCCAAATGTGACCCCGAGGGAAACACAGTAATTATTTAATAATTTGAAGGATTATAGAGGAGCTCTGGGGGCTGGAACAGGAATGCATATTCAGGCAAGAGGCATTCCGCGCTGGCCTTAGCTTAATGACTTCATTTGATTTTTAATATAGGCATAAAAATGCAGACGAACCAGAGCTTTTGTAATGAAAATCATTTCCGAAGAAATACTTCAGACCCTGCTCTGTCACCTCCAGCCTTTCTCTCCAGTTGACTGAGGGGGGGAAAAAAAGAGTTTCTGCCACTGCCCATGCGGTGCTTAGATTTCACCTCCACAGAGGTCACTGACTCTGGAAAGAGATGACAGATGAGATTCTAGCCTGCCTCTTCCATGCCTTAACTCCACGAGAACAGGTCACATTCTCTTTCCTGGGGACTGTCGGCCCTTCATCTGAAAGCTGAGAGTTCGCTTCAGGATCTTCTAGTGTGTGAAATTGCACTGAAGCCACTGAACACCGGGTAATTGTACAATATTTTTGTGTCTTACAGTGATGTGGCATTTGGCGCCATTCTAAGCCATCAGGCCACTTGTTGACATGACTCAGGGAAGATGGAATGGAACAGAACGATTCCTTAAACAGGGACCCAAAAATGCCGAATTGACGTGAGCTGGCTGGGTCCACTGTGAGGCAGGGAATCACCTGTCAGCCCCTTGCTGGATCGCTGTGAAGGGCACCTGGGAGGTGCTTGCCTTTCACAGAGCTGGTACTTAGCATGCTGAAGAAGATGGTGATTATACTAGATGGGCGGTTATTGCTAGGACTTGCAGGTGTGCTTGGCACATATCGCTCTGAACTGAGCTGCAGGTGGCTGGAAATGCTGCGGAAAAGCAAGGCATTTGAAAACACTGCCCAGACCTTGCTCACGTTCAAATACCATGCTAAATATTGTGATATGTAGACCCATGCTTCTGTTTTCTAAACGTGCCCTTTTGGATGTATGTTAGGATGTCCTTCCACACCTGCTTTGTTGATACCAAATTTGTGAATTGTTTTTAATCAAAGTGCAGAGCTCAGTGACCTGTTCTGTTTGTTTGCTAGGAATGTCTATAACGGAGTACCGCAAACCAAGTGACTTAAACAACAGAAACTTACTGTCTCAGGGTTCTGGAGGCTGGAAGTCCAAGATCAAGGGGTTGGCAGGGTTGGTTCCTTCTGTAGGCTGTGAGGGAGCATCTGTTCCGCCCCTCTCTCCTAGCTTCTGGTGATTTACTGGCATTTTGCTGGAATGCTTTTGGCTTACCTTGGCCTGTAGAAACATCAGTCTGATTTCTGCCTTCATCTGCACTTGGCTTTCGTTTTCTCCGTGTGGTGGCTGTGTCCAAATTTTCCCTTCTTATAAGGACACACCGGGCATATTGGTTTAGGGGCCCATCTTTCTCCCGTAATGGCTCATACTATTTAACTAATTACATTTTCAATGGCCCTGTTTCCAAATAAGGTCATGTTCAGATGTACTGAGGACTGGGACTTCAACATATGAATTTTGGGGAGGCACAAGTCACCCCATAGCAGCTCTTTTTAGGGAGATATTTTGCTGATAAAAATATGGAAAAGCAGAAAGGAAATATTTAAAGAACAAAATGATGAGGTTGGGGGCAGGGGTGTCAAAAGGATTCTCCTGAAGTTGCTCCCAGTAGTCAAAGCTGGGACAGTGTAAACAGCAAAATCAGTACCAGTGTTGGATTATAACTTGATATATAAAATAAGTACCTGAGTCCAGCCTGATATAAATAAATGATTGAATAAAGAGACAAATAAATGAGAGAAGAGACACGTTTCCCATTCCAAATGCTTGATGTAGCTATTTCTCCACTGAAGGAGGTGGAGTGGAACTGCCCACTGCCTGAATGGCTGCACTTAATGACCTACTTCTAAAGATGAGAGCGTGGCATAGGTTGGAAAAGGAAGTTTAGAGTGGAAAAACCTGGTGAACACTTTGTCCCAGCTCATGAAAGCTGCCATCCTCAGTGATGTGCTGTTGATACCGGAATGCTCGCGTAGGACAGCATAAATTTGGCACCTCAGCTTTGTGGCCTTCCTCCCCAGACACATAACCCCAGTCTAGTCATGGGAAAAACATCAAACAGTGATTTCGTCCTTCAACAGGGACATGCTGCAAAATAACCCGATCTTCACTCCTCAAAGCCCCAAGGTCATCAGGGCAAGTCTGAGAATCTGTTACAGACCAGAGGAGGCTAGAGGGATATGACAACCAGAGGTGTCCTGTGATGTCCTGGATGGGATCCTGGAACAGTAAAAGGACATTAGGGGAAAACTTGCGAAATCGGAATTAACTTCAGTTTAGGTAACAGTGATAGTAGCGCGCTGCATAGTTTACAGCAGCACAATTCGCTGCTGCGAAGATACCGAAGCAACCTAAGTGCCCATCAGCTAATGACTGAATAAGGAAAATGTGGTGTATATACACTGTGGAATACTACTCAGCCATAAAAAGAAACAAAATAATGTCTTTTTTTTTTTTTTTTTTGGAGACGGAGTTTCGCTCTTGTTACCCAGGCTGGAGTGCAATGGCGCAATCTCGGCTCACCGCAACCTCCGCCTCCTGGGTTCAAGCAATTCTCCTGCCTCAGCCTCCTGAGTAGCTGGGACTACAGGCACGCGCCACCATGCCCAGCTAATTTTTTTGTAGTTTTAGTAGAGACGGGGTTTCACCATATTGACCAGGATGGTCTCGATCTCCTGACCTCGTGATCCACCCGCCTCGGCCTCCCAAAGTGCTGGGATTACAGGCTTGAGCCACCGCGAAAATAATGTCTTTTGCAGCAACTTGGATGGGGCTGAGGGCCTTATTTTAAGTCAACTCAGGAATGGAAAACCAAATATCATATGTTCTCACTTATAAGTGGGAGCTAAACTGTGAGGAAGCAAAGGCATGAGAATGATACAATGGATGCTGGGGACTCGGGGTGGGTGTAGGTTCGGAGGGGGATGAAGGATAAAAGACCACATATGGGGCGACAGGTACACTAAAGTCTCAGAAATCACCGCTAGAGAACTTATCCATGTAGCTCAAAACCACCTGTACCCAAAAAACTATTGAAATAAAAAAAATAGTAGTCTTCCAGTGTTGTGACTAGTGTCTTTTAGTAATATGTGGTGTTAACATTAGGGAAAACGAAGTGAGGGGTATACCGGAACTTTCTGTGCTATCTTTGTAACTTTTCTGTTAAAAAAAAAAAAAAAAAAGCAGTCTCCAAAATGCAGGTTCATTGAATTGATCGATTTTAAATATCCAAATCGTTTTCGGTAGAATGAAAAGTAAAATCACTGCATCCCTGAGAGTTGCCTGACCTACTTTAGTGAAGAGCTGCTTCTTAAGGACCCTTGCTTTTGTGTTATCGTCTGGAAGATCTGCCGAGCCACACGAGGGGTCTCTTTGTAGTTTGGATACCACCGTTTTTGGAACATTAGTTTTGTGAAATGGCACTCCACTGTGCTTTGAATAGTACCCGTGACTGAGCTCGGGGTACCCAGGCTCACTGAAAGCCAGCTTGCTTAGGAGACTCTGGCTAGTGGCCTTCGGAATCAAGATCTGAAAAGTGGAAGGAGGGGTGGTGTATTTGGTTGCTTGCCTGTAGCTCTTCAGAAAAGTCCATTGAGCTGTTCTCATGTTTATGTTCCCTATGGCCCTCCTTCCTAGATGCGTCATTTCTCATTAAAGGATATGCATGTTTTAATGCTTCCAATAGCTATTGTCAAATTGCCTTCTGATTTTACACTCTGTTCTAATCCACATTCCCACCAACTTTTTAGGAAATTCTTATTTTTCTAACCTTTCTCAAGGTCTGATAGTAAATGAAAAGACATTTTCCCAATGGGTGACCTTGACTTTGTGATTTTGGTACTCATAGAGGGGGTATTTAAACTTTATAACACTACATTAACACCCTATAAACAGTAGCTCTCCCCATAATAATGTTTATGACAACAGATTGTTTTTAGAGAGTGACATATATATGGGTCTTATGTAATACCTTCTCTACTATAGGCACCAATCCAAAGTCAGTTTCCAGAAAAACATTTTAATCCTATCTCACCATGGTTGGAGAACAGGTTTTGCATTTAATCAAACAGTGGAGAGTTTCCTGGATGATCATTTTTCAGAGCCACTGTTGTTTTGTGTTTCCTTGGTAATTCCAAAGAAATCCCAGCATCTTATGTGTCTTTGGTCTCCGTGATGGGTTGGCCATGATGGGGTGTTAGATGGTCAGAAACTGATTGAGAGGGTTTTTTGTTCTCCTGTGAGCCTTCCATTTTTTTTGCTTTAAAGTCTTCAATATAAAAATAATGACATACTCTATATTTCGTGTAAAGGATTGTAGCTTAACATGTATAAAGTTAGAAAAATCCGCAAGTCTTTCATTTGCTGATCTAGGTCTAAAGATTTATTTTTTGAATGACTATAAAGTTTGCAGAGTTAGAAC